AAATATTTCCTGGGAGCCAGTGGATCACGCTTATAATCCTAGCCACTCAGGAGGCTGAGATCTGAGGATCATGGTTCAAAGCCAGTCCAGGCAGGAAAGTCCATGAGACTCTTATCTCCAATAAACCACTCAGAAAACCAGAAGTGGCACTCTGGCTCAAGTGGTAGAGTGCTAGCATTGAGCTGAAGAGCTGAGGGACAGCACCCAGGCCCAGGGTTCAAACCCCACAACCAGCCACCCCCCCAAAAAATGATTTTACAGTTCAAACTCCAATACTTTCAAAAATACATATATATTTTGTCAGTCTTGGGGCTTGAACTCAGGGCCTGGGCACTATCCCTGAGCTTCTTTTTGCGCAAGGTTAGCACTCTACCACTTGAGCCACAGCACCACTTCTGGCTTTTTCTGTGTATGTGGTACTGAGGAATCGAACCCAGAGTTTCATGCATGCTGGGCAAGCACTCTACCACTAAGCCACATTCCCAGCCCTCAAAAATAATTTTTAAAATTCAGCCTATCTTTGGCAGATTAAAAGTGTTTTATTAGCTAGGTAAACCTCCTGTAATGTGTTGTGACATTATTAATACATAAAGTGAGATACAGTATATTTGAGTGTGACTTTATTGTGAAAGATGGCAAAAGGGCAGAGAAAATACATCTGAATTTGGAAATAGAACATACTCCAGCTAGTTGACCATCTAGGCTGTTACAATCTTAGAGAATTCATATTTTTATTTATTAGATGTTTGGAAATATGTAAATGTCTGTTTATAGAGTCTCAGTTTTTAGTTATAACATGAAAAAAAAACCCAATCCCACAACAGCTTAGCCTTGTGGAGTTGTTTTGTAGATGATTGCTCTGAGACCTGGGTTGTTCTGTCTTGCCTTTCTCTTTGCCCTACTTTCATGTCCAGTCACGCCTTCCTAAACCACAGAGAATGATAGTGGAAGTGCTGGGTGCTGGCCTCCAGAGGCCCTGCACACTCCAGCTCTGTTGCTCTCAACAAGCCCAATCCAGCTGTTGGAGCACAAGAGACCATATAAAGAGGAGCTCACATTCCCCAACTGAAGCTATTTTAAACAAGTTCAACAGCCAGCCGACCCACAAACATGCAGGAGAACCTACCATGGTCCACATTATCCAGCTGGCTAGCTGACTCCAGAACGGCAGATGCTTTTTATTTTAAACTACTGAGATGTATTAACCAGCACTGGCTAATGGGCACAGACCTTCAATGTTCAACACACACATGACTGTTCTTGACTTCCTTCTGTTTACTCAGTTCTTGGTATGTTTCTCTGGCAGCTAATATGTCTGTGTTACAATTCTTCTGAGTTTTTTTTTTTTGAAAAAAATGACTATGACTATTGTGAGGTGTAGTGATAAAGTTTTTTGTTGTTGTTGTTGTGTTGTTTAGAAGTATGTTACATAGCCCTAAGTCCTAAGTTCCATCTCCTAAGTCTTCCTGGGAAGAGCTTTTCATCTCTTTCAGTAACTATCTGGTCACTAACCACAATATACATGGTACTATATCAACTTCTATGGCAGCAGATAACAAGATGAGTGAAACAGCATGTAGGTATCACATTGCTGTAGATACTGGTAACTGTGCTTAAAAAAATAAAAAGAAGGCTCGTGTGGAGCTGCATGCCTTTATTTTTTTCATTTTCAAAATTATCTTCAAATACTTGTACAAGGGGTTTCAATTAATATGTGTATTAATATGTACAATGCATCTTAAAGTCTTCCTTCCATCATTCCCCCCCACCCCATCCCATTTCCTACTTCCATGTCCACATATGTATACTGTATATTCTGACTGTATTCACCCACCATTCCTCTTTCCATTTGTCCACCATCACTCCTTTTCTTCACATGTTTCAACTTCTTGATAGTCATTTGTTAAACCATCTGTTAATTGTTCAAAGGGGTTACAGCAGATTCTCATTCCGCATATACTTTAGTCATATATATATATATATACGCACACATATAACACACATATATAAGTGTGTATGTGTATATGTATAGGTGTATGTACATGTATATATATGGTTCTGTGTACATTTACATATGTCTATATTTTAGGTCTAACATTCACATGAGAGTAAACATGTGCTCTTGTGTTCTTAATCCTGGTTTACTTCACTCAATAGGGTTTTCTTTTTCCAGGTCCATCTATTTCCCTACAAATGATATATTATTCTTCCTGATAGATGAATAAAATTCCATAGTATAAATAAATAAAAAATATATATAATCACATTTTCTTGATCCATTCATTGGTTGTATAGAATCTGGGCTATTCCCCTAAGTTGGCTATGAAAAGAATTGGGCATGCATTTGTTCTTTTCTGATGGATTTCACTTAGCATGATGTCCTTAAGGTTCACCCATGCTGTTGCCAGGTTCAGAAATGTTCTCTTTTTTACTTTGTTATACCTTCATCCATTGGTGAATGCTAGGGTTGCTTCCATCTTTTGTCTGTTATGATCATGAATGTATCTCTGAGATCTTGTATCCGATTCTTTTGGTATATAGCCAGGAATGGAACTGCTGTATCGTATGAACATTCAACTTTTTGGAGGGGAAGTAGTGGGGATCAAGCCCACTGCTCTATCCTGATGACCTTCTCTAGTCCTAATCACATCCTAGAGGCCATAACTCTAAATATCATTCAATACCCATGAACTTAGGTTCTAAATGTCTAACACATAAATTTGGAAAACATATTTAAACCATAACACAGAGAGAAACTGTAAAATAGCTTAGGGTCTGAGAGTGTGGCTTAGTGGTGGAGTGCTTGCCTAGTACACAAGAAGCCCTAGGCATGATCACCAGCACTGAAGAAAACCAAACAAACCAAAACATTGCTGATATTTTAGCCAGGTTGTAACTCCAGCACTGGGAGGCAGAGGCAGCATCATGAGCTTGAGATGAGTGTGAGGATAGTTTGGGCTACATAGTAGAAAACTGGCTCAAAACAAACAAACCACTAGCCCCCCAAACAAAACAACAAAATAATCAAACTTCCTAAGCAGAAACCCATTGAAATAGAGGCAGACAGAAAAAAAAGGGGAGGGCTTTAGCAAAAACGTCTGGAAAAGTAAAAAAGGCAGAAGGACAAAGAGTTGAAAGAAATGGAAAGAAAAAAAGAACACTTAATAGGAACAGAGTGGAAAGCAATGGCTAAATGAGATGAGGCTGGAAAGATGAAGAGGTAGTCACAGAACAACAAAGGAAGGAAAAAGATGAAAATCAAAGATGACCTTTCCCCTAAAGCACAAACCATAAGTCAGACATAAATAATATTCGAGTACTTTCTGCAAAGTTGGTGGATAGGAATATAGGATTCTGCTGAGTGGGGGAGGTTACAAGTAAGTTCTGTGCATACAGAATGAGTGTAAGTTGTGATTTCTAAAAAATTCAACTTTTTACTTTACATCAACCACCTTTCTAATCAGCTAGAAGTGATGACACAGAGTTAACCAGTGTCAGAGAGTGGTCCTGGAAAGCTGTGGACTCAGTCTATACATCTCCAAGAGACCACTCAGATGTCTGAATCATTGCCCGGTTTCATTTCCTGCATTTCCCCTTCTTTCTCCTCTAAATACAAGAGTTACCTCTTCGCCTTTATTCTTGTTTTCATGACCATAATCTAAGTTAGGATTCCTTTATTCCTCTGATAGGTCTATTCATTTCTCTCTGAGCAAATACTTAAAATTTAAAATTATTAATTTATTCGGTCAGTATCTTGTCTTCTCTAAGCTCTTCTCTTTCACACAACTTCACTGTCATATGCCCCAGGACCTAATTTACAGCAGAAGCTGTTGAGTGAATAAGTACATAAAAGACAAGTACAAAGTGTTTCTTTCCTGGAGTAATGTCTCCATCTGGCGGGACTTTAGAGTATTGTCTTCTTTTTTTTTCTTCTCTTAGGGCTCTGGAATAGCTCAATCTCTTCAGGCAGGGGACTGGTCACAAACAAGGCTTACTTGGTGAAATCAACAGGCAGGTAGTAATTAAAGCCCGTGGGGCACTGGCTTCTGGCAAAAGGCAGAGCACAAACCCATCAGTAAAGTCTTGGCTCAAGAGGATCCTTTAGGCACCTTCACACCTCCTTTCTTACAGCTATCCAGAAGGGTCCCCAATCCCTGATCCCCAATCCCAACTTTTTCCCAGAGCACCACAACTGAAACAGAAGTTGGAGACTGAAGTCGTTCCCGCCCTACCATCATCGTATACACTTAGGAGAGAAGGAAGGGCAAATTAGGCTCCACCAGAAATCTAAAGTTATCCTGTAGAATTTTTTTTTTGTTTTCTGGTTGGTTGTGGGGCTTGAACCCAGGGCCTGGGCACTGTCCCACAGCCTCTTTGTGCTCAAGGCGAGTGCTCCAGCCCTGGAGCCACAGCGCCACTTCCGGTTTCCTGGTGGTTTATTGGAGATCGGAGTCTCACGGTCTCTCCTGCCCGGGCTGGCTTCGAACCGCGATCCTCAGATCCTCCTGAGTAGTCAGGATTACAGGCGTGAGCCACCGGCGCCCGGTCTGTAGGATGATTTGCACACACAACCTGGAGTAACTTTTGAAAAAAGAAAACACATTAAACTTCCCTTGATGGGTCAGGATACGTGTTCCATTCAGCTCATAAATGCATACCAAGGAAGGCTCCTTTTAAGCCCGCTTGTTCACAAATGCGTTTCGAAGCTCCTTCCACTTACCAGGGAGGGACCCTAGCGCTCTCTTCCTACCCAGCCCCGGAGCTGGGAGGCCGGAAGTCAGACTCCGGCGCGAGCCGCTCTTTCCCCCCAGACTTTATGGTTTCCGGGTTACTCTGGCCACCGGAACTCTATGGTTCCGGGGCGAGCTGGGAGCACTGAGTTTGAAAGCCGTGGCGGGAAGATGGCCGCAGCACCTGTCACCGCGCCGGCTTTCTCCGCCTTGGGGAGCTGCTGGGACTGCAGTGTCGTGTCTTGAACCACAAAGAAAGGCTTGTGTGCCATGGATCCTCCACGTCGGAGTGGGAAACGGCGGCGCTCCGAATCTAGCCCAGACTCGAGGTCAGCCAGCGGGGGCGACAGCAGTGTCAGCCCCCAGCGTCTGTCCCGGTCGGTGCTGAGTCCGCCGCCGGGCCTGGGGCGCAGCCTGCAGGCCGCGGGTGCCAGCACCCCAGGTACTTGGGGGAGACGGAGCTCCGAGCGAGGGGTGGAGGGAGTCCGGCGGGCCGGGCCTCCGCCGCGCGCCCTCGGGCGCGTCTGCCTCGAGCTGCGGCCTGGTGCGGCTGGTGGCGTGCTGTGCAGGCCTGGGGCGCCTGGCGTGTGCGCTGTGTGTGTGTGTGGGGGGGGGGTCGGGGGTAAACTCACAGTGCTTTCTGCATAGTTCACCCTGACGGAGCCACCTTCCAGCTAGCCAAAGCCTGGCACCACAAGTGAGCTTCCTAATGCTGCTCAGTACTCCTCTTACAGGGGTGTGTGCGTGTGTGTGTGGTGCATGTGTACTGTTTGTGTGTGCATGTGGGGTGTGTGTGTGCTGTGTTTGCATGTGAGATGTGTGTGCTAGGCATGTCGTGTATGTGTGTTGTGTATGTGAGGTACGTGTGTACTATTTGTGTGTGCATGTGGGGGGGGTGTGTGTGCTGTGTTTGCATGTGGGGTGTGTGTGCTAGGCATGTGGTTGTGTGTGTGTGTTGGTATAGGGACTTGAACTCAGGGCACTCTCTACTGCTTGAGCCACAACTCTATACTTCTGGCTTTTTGAAAAGTCTCATGGACTTTTCTGGCTCCAAACCTCAATCCTCAGATCTCAGTCTGAGTAGCTAGGATTACAGATGTGAGCCTCTGGCGCTCTGCTGCAAAGAGTCTTATACAGGACTATTGAGTCTGGCAGTTTGCAGTTCCTGTATCGAATTTGTAATGTTTTCTAAGGTAAGTTAGGTGTCCTGTGAATGTTAACACAGTTATCGGCGGGTAAACATTTAGTTATATGATAATTGCTCAGTCATTGTTGCCCAGTCATCCTCATATTAATTAAAACTTAAATGGAAACCTCCCTAATTCAGTTTTGTAATGCTTACTTACTGATTAGGGAACTCCCTATAATTCTTATACTTCTTATCCATTGTATATAGCAGACATTCGTGGGTTTTTTTTTTTGAGGGGGTAGGACTTTTTAAGAAATTTCAAATTATATTTAGTACACAATTTCTATACAAGATCAATTTCTCACGAGCTTCTTAAAGTCTGTTTTAAATAGCTTCATTCCAACACACAGGGAAAGTACTACAAAAGTTATGTTAGATCTAACTCTTGTTCTTCTTTTTTTCCTGAAAGGAGTATGTAAGCAAACAGTTCCTGATGACCAAATAGACAAACTGTTATTGGCAAATTGGGGCCTTCCTAAAGAAGTTTTGGAGAAATACCACAGTTTTGGTGTAAAAAAGATGTTTGAATGGCAGGCAGAATGCCTTTTGCTTGGACAAGTCTTGGAGGGAAAGAATTTAGTTTATTCAGGTATTCAGATTTATGCAAACTAATTTCTCTACTCTTTAAAAGATAATTATCAGTGTAAGGGAACTATTGGGTATGGTTTTTTTCTTAAGGTGGATGAGACATTGCTGAAACTGGAGAAAGTCTTAAAATATATTTTAAAAGTAAAGTCACATATGCATACTTAAGTTATGGAAGTTCAATTATATGGTGGTAGTTGTGGAACAAGAAATATTGCAACTTATAGACTCAGAGTTCTTGTTCAGCAAATGTGTGTCCCAGGGTGAAAGGGTGTTGTCATGGGAAATGTCAGTCTGTTCTTCCTCCATTAGATCTCAGCTGCTTTTCAGGGCATGGTATTTGCATATTGTATGTTTTTCAAGGGACCTGTTTCTACAGGGTTGTATGTATATACACCCAATGTGATGTCCCTTATAAGAAGATTTATGTGGTTTTTTTCCCATGGGCAAGTTTTATATATACACAATTTTTAACTTGTGATTACCATACTGACTTGAGTCTAATTATTTGGTAAGATAGCAATTCCTTTGTGTTTTCTCTGAACTTTGTATCAGATTTTTTTTCATTATGGCTATGAAAGGGAATTATTTTTTAGCTGTAAGTTCAGGCTGTGGAGTTTAACTTGTTCGATTTAAAAACTATCACTTTCTGGCTGTGTGACTTTGTAATAGAGAGAAAGGAGTTCAGGGAGACTGACTTGATCACATTTAGATTAAATTATTTTATATGTATAAGAGGTGAGAACAGTTTTGACATATAGAAAGTCTTCCTAAATGCCAGCTAGTAGTAGTGTAGCATTTCCTAGCCAAGTTCTATTACCTTAAATATCTCTTGATTCTTACTACTTTGTGCTCTTAGGTTCATTATGATTGTATAATCCTAGATTATACAATAGCCTATAGATAATACATGTTTTATCTTTTTCTCTGGTTTTGCCCTATTTCTGCAGCCAAAGTGATCTTTTAAAGGTACAAATATGACCTTATTCTCTTTCTAAGAACTCATTAGTCATTTCTGATTTGCTTTTAGGATTGTCTAAATTCTTGCCATGGTGGGATCATATGACTCTGTTTATGCAGCATTTTCACATCTCTTCTCTTTCTGTTCTGAAGGCCGTTTGTTCCAGGCTTACTGAATTACTCACTGTCATCCCAATGTACCAGGCTTTCCTCTAGCCCTGTACATATGCTTTTTATGCTTGGTATTCCTTTTCTCTTTTCTTCTTCCTCATGTAAGTTCTCTCCCCTCCCTTCTGTTCCCCTCCCTTCCCTTCCTCAGCCTCTATTATAGCTCCTGGCACATTATGTAAAATTGCTCATTGCTTTCAAGCACTTAAAGGAATGAATCTTTAGGAATAAGCAAGCTAGATTTCATTATTATCTATCAGTTTTGCCAATATAAGTATCATTATATCTATTTTCAGAATGAGTTTAGAAAGGTAGTTTAAAGTGAGGTATTTCAAGGTATAAAGATTTCAAATGAGGCTTGGTAATACTGGAGGTAGTTTAAAATATTTATTAATGCGGTGTACCAGACATTACTTCTTTCTGTTGTAACTTTGTGGAATAATCATGTTTTAGCTCCTACAAGTGCTGGAAAGACCCTTGTTGCAGAATTACTTATTTTGAAGCGTGTTTTGGAAATGCGGAAGAAAGCCTTATTTATTCTTCCCTTTGTTTCTGTGGCTAAAGAGAAGAAATACTATCTTCAGGTAATGTTTTTGTGCTGTGTTTAGCATATTGGCAGCTTTGGCTTTACTCATTTCCAATAGAATTATAAAAACAAGTGAGAACAGTTTCATTTATTGCATCTCATCTAGCTTTAAAAGCTGATTATTAAAAGTACTGAAAGTTTAAAGAAGGAAATTTTTTAAAATGCTGTTATATAAAGGAGAGTGGGCTATGAAATCCAGTAGTTTGGTGAGCATCATGTAAGAGTTTGTCAATGTTTTCTTAGGAAGTAAACAGTATATTTCAGTTGGCACATAACTGCAAATGAAGAAATAGAGCTTAAGGAATAGGACTAGAGTGAAGCATGGACAGGAAAGAGCATTTAAGGAAGCTTACCCCATCTTGATTGAGACCTGCTGGCCACATTTAGGGGCTGAAGAGCAGTTATTCATTGGTGCTTAGTAAAGCTCTATGCTTGTGGTAGTTTTCCTGGAAAAATGAGTAACACTTACATTAATATGATACTTAACTAGTTTTTAAGGCATTTTCACAAATAGAGTATTTCATTAAATAGAATGAATTTGCTGGTGCTGGTGGCTCAAGCCTGTATTACCAGCTACTCAGGAGGCTGAGATCTGAAGAATGTTGCTTGAACCAGCCCAAGCAGAAAAGTACCTGAGACTCTTATTTCCAATTAACTACAAAAAAGCCGGATAGAGGTGTGATTCAAATGGTAGTATGGCAATCTTGAGTGAAAAAGCTAAGGGACAGTGCCCACGCCCCGAGTTCAAGCCCCCATATTGACACACACATACACACACAAGAATGAATGTTTCCCTATGATTTCTACAATAAAACTGTATTGTTGGAATAGAAATATCACCATACTGATAGGCCAAAATAAATCTAGGTCCTCCTAGTTTTGCTACTATCTTTAGCCCAGACATGCACCCTGCTGAGCCTCAGGTTGTATTGGAAAATGAGACTGTTAACATACATTGTTAATCCTCAACCCTATGGATTAATTTAGTAATACTCAAAATAGCTCAAAAGTTCCATGGTTCTATAAATGTTTTCAACAGTTATTTCACAGGCCAAATAGCCAACAAAACTGTCCTACATGGTAGCATTCTCTCAACTTAGACCCAAAGTAACAAAATGATGATACTTTTTATGAGAAAATATGTTAAAAGTTTTTTTTAAACAAACTATTATCAAAGTTCCATTGAATTTAACTTTTAAAAACTTTTCTTCCATCATATAAAAAAGAAATCTTTAGTAGGGTAAGACTGTTGTCCTTATGGAGTATGAGTTTGTTTCTTAACATGTTGATTAACCCTGGTATAGTGGTGCATACTATGATTATGAATTCTGTGCCAGCCTGGACTATAAAGAGAGAGCCTGTCAAAAATATAAATGAAAATAAACCTAAAAATGCCAGGCACTGGTGGGTCATGCCTATAATCCTAGCTACTAAGGAAGCTGAGATCTGAGGATTGCAGTTTGAAACCAGCCGGGGCAGAAAAGTCTGTGAGACTTTGTCTCCAATAAACCACTCAGAAAAAGCTGGAAGTGGCATTGTAGCTCAAGTGGCAGAGTGCTAGCCTTGAGCACAAAGAGGCCCAGGGACAGTGCCCAGACCCTAAGGTCCATTCAAGTCCCAGGATCAGCAAAAACAAAACCAAACCAAAAAAACCCCCAACAACGCTAAAAACAACAATAATGCCCCCTCCCCCAACTCCCCACAAACAAACCCTCCAACTCCCCACCCGCCCATATTTAACACTAATATATTAGAGTTAAAAATTTGGGTAGTTTCTTGCTATTTATTAGAGTAAAAATGTTAGTGCCTGAGGTACATTTTCTCCAGTTGTAATTTCTATGTTAAAAAACAAACTTTACAGCTTGGGGTGGGGGAGAGGAGGGAGGAGTTGGGTAAGTGGGGAGGGAAGGAATGGTAGGGGGAAAAACAAAGGAGGATAACAATGCTTGATAGGAAGTGTACTCATTACCTTATTCATGTAACTATAAACCCTCTGTACAGTATCTTTACAATTAAAAAAACATGAAAAATAGGACTTCGATTTTTAAATAATATCATGAAAATGGCCAATTAAGGACTGAGTTTTATCCATTCTAATGGACAAAACTTATAATTTCTGGTATATATTCAAAGAACCAGGATGTCTTGGCCAGAGCAACTTGACAGTGGCCTGATAAAGGTCTTTAGATGCTTATGTCTGTGTCCTGGGATAGAAATCATAACTCATGAATTTTTAACTTTTTCACTGATACTGTTTCTTTTTTACTCAATCCAGAGTCTGTTTCAGGAAGTAGGAATAAAAGTAGATGGTTATATGGGCAGCTCTTCTCCAGCAGGGCATTTCTCTTCCTTGGACATTGCTGTCTGCACAATTGAGAGAGCCAATGGTCTGATCAATCGCCTCATAGAAGAAAATAAGATGGATTTGTTAGGTAAGAAAAATTAGAAAATGAGGCAAATTCTTCCTATTGCTATTTCTGGAGATATAGCTCAAATGTTAGTGCACTTGCCCAGTAATTCTAGGCCCTATTCCAACTATAGTACCACTGGAAAACAAAACAAAACAAAAACAAAAACAAAAGAGGTACCTTATTACTTAGGACATATTGGATTTTAGTTATCTTGAGGATTTTAATAGCTTAATAGTTTTGTTATTTCATCTAATGTACTTGGCAAAGTAGATAGAATAAATAGTTTTGGATAAATGAATAAATGTTGAAATAACTCATGTAATATGATTTAGAGGTAGTGTAATGATAAAGAAAAAGAGCATCTTATGTCATTGGGAAAGCATGTGAATGGTCTTGATTTTAGTAGGAGTACTGGTTAAAGGGACCAGTGCATGTAGAAACAATTGGGGTTTCTGCTTAGGAAGTTTTGTTATTTTGTTGTTTTGTTTTGGGGGCTAGTGGTTTGTTTGTTTTGAGTCAATGTTATACTATATAGCCTAGACTATCCTCACTCTCATCTCAACCTCATGATCCCACCTCCACCTCCCAGTGCTGGAGTTACAACCTGGCAAAATATCAGCAATGTTTTGGTTTGTTTGGTTTTCTTCATGCCTAGGGCCTCATGTGTACTAGGTAAGCACTATACCACTAAACCGCACTCTCAGGCCCTAAGCTATATTACAGTTTTTCTGTCTCTCTGTTATGGTTTAAATATATTTTCCAAATTCATGTTAGAAACTTAGGAACTTAGTTCATTGGGGTTATGAAGATATAAAGAAGGCATTGATTAATAATAATCTTTTTCAGAAATTCTTTTTTTTTTTTTGTCGGTCATGGGGCTTGAACTCTGGGCCTGGGCGCTGTCCTTCAGCTCTTCAGCTCAAGGCGAGCGCTCTACCACTTGATCTACAGTGCCACTTCCGGTTTTCTGGTGGTTTATTGGAGATAGAAGTCTCACGATCTCTCCTGCCCGGGCTGGCTTTGAACCGCGATCCTCAGATCTCAGCCTCCTGAGTAGCTAGGATTACAGGTGTGAGCCACCAGCGCCCGGCCTATCTTTTTTTTTTGGGGGGGGGAGTGGGGGGTCTGGTCGTGGGGCCTGAACTCTGGACCTGGGCACTGTCCCTCAGCTCTTCAGCTCAAGGCTAGCGCTCTACCACTTGAGCCACAGCGCCATTTCCGGCTTTTTTCTTTTTGCTTATGTGGTGCTGAGGAATCAAACCCAGGGCCTCCGGCATGCAAGGCAAGCGCTCTATCACTGAGCCACCTTCCCAGCCCCTTTTTCAGAAATTCTTGAGAGCATTATTCCAATTATGCCTAAATGGGAAAAGAATGTATATTTATATTTGTGTTTGAAGTAGAGTGACATTAGACTATCATATTTAAAGGAATAATCCCTTAAAAATCATCTTTTTTATTGGCTGAAGTCTGATTTTATTTGAGTATGGTTGTTTTCTTATAGAAAAAGTTAAGGCTTGAGTAACTGAGATAAATGCCTATGATACATTATATATTACATGCTTATGTTCTTTTTTGTAATCATTTGTAAATTGCTAATCTATAAGATTAAATTGGTAATATTTAGAAATGTCTCAGTAATGAGACACAGTTTTTCTTGGGTTTGATTAATTCTGAGTAAGCTAATCATTGACTTTTTTTTTTTTTTTTTTTTTAAGATTTTCCTGGATTGGGGCGGGGGTGGGGGGGCACTGTCCCTCAGCTCTTCAGCTCAAGGCTAGCGCTCTACCACTTGAGCCACAGCGCCACTTCTGGCTTTTTTCTTTTTGCTTATGTGGTGCTGAGGAATCGAACCCAGGGCCTCAGGCGTGCAAGGCAAGTGCTCTACCACTGAGCCACCTTCCCAGCTCCCTAATCATTGACTTTTAAGATCCAGAATACATTGTAGTAGGAAGGAGTGCTTATGATACCTAAATCTTCTTGGAAAGGAACTAATTGATTGTATGCGGAGACCAGGTTTTGTGTTATGTTTGTTTTATACTTGAAGTATATTATGACAGCTTATTGTATGATATAAAATACTGAGTCTTAAATTTCTACTTGGTATTGTGAAATTCTATAAAACATAGAATCTGGAAAAATCCTTCTAGGAATGGTGGTTGTGGATGAGTTACACATGCTTGGAGACTCTCACCGAGGGTATCTGCTGGAACTTTTGCTGACCAAGATTTGTTATATTACTCAGAAATCAGCATCATGGTGAGTACCTGAAGTAACTAAATTACTCAGATTCCAAACCATGTTGAGAAGGTTGCAAAACTACAAAAGTATGTGTTAAATTAAAGGAATGTAGTACTTCTTTTTTTTTTTTTTTGGTCAGTCATGGGGCTTGAACTCAGGGCCTATGCACAATTCCTGAGCTTTTGTGTTCAAAACTAGCACTCTACTACTTTGAGCCACAGTGCAACTTCCAGTTTCTGATGGTTAATTGGAGATAAGAGTCTCATGGACTTTCCTGCTCCAGTTGTGTTTGAACTGTGAACTTCAGATCTCAACCTTCTAACTAGCTAGGATTACAGGCTTGAACCACCGGCATCTGGCTGTTGTACATTTCTTATTCAGAAAAAACACATGTATAGCAGTTTGTTATTGTTCCAAAAGAAGTAATTGAGGTAGAATGTATAAACTCGTTGCAGTAGCTTATGCCTGTATTCCTGTCTACTTGGGAGGTAGAGATCAGAAGGACCACAGTTCAAGGCATTCCTGGGCAAAATGGTAGCAAGGTCTCATCTCAATCAGTAAAAAAAACCTGGGTGCAGTGGTATGTGCCTGTCAGCCCGTATCTTATAATGGCAAATAGAAATAGGAAGATCATGGTGGTCTAGACCGGTCTGGGCATAAGCATAAGACCTTACATGAAATATAACTAAAGCAAAAAGGTCTGAAGATGTGGATCAAGTGGTAGAGTGACTGCACTGCCTAGCAGGTTCAAGGCCCCATTACTGCATGTGTGTAATAAGGACATGACCAACACTGCTGTTACCAGCTTTACTGGTTAATTTACACCCTATCTTAATGTGTTTCCATTTGGTCTTCACAGCCAGCCAGAGTCACCAAAGTCTTTGTCTAAAGCTGTACAGATTGTTGGTATGAGTGCTACTCTTCCTAATTTGGAGCTTGTGGCTTCTTGGTTGAATGCTGAACTCTACCATACTGACTTTCGTCCTGTACCACTTTTGGAGTTAGTAAAAATTGGAAATTCCATTTATGACTCTTCAATGAAGCTTGTGAGGGAATTTCAACCCATGCTACAAGTGAAGGTAAATTATTCTTGCAGCATCACTATCAGTATCTTTGCATTTTCTAGCAACCTATAATCATTTTTTTTGAAATACATAATTAGAGGTTGTAAAATAGTCAAATGTACATTAAAAATCTATTAAAATTAATATTAACTGATTAACTAATAATCAGTTTCACCTTGAGGAATTAATGGTGGTGAGAGGGAATGTAGTTGTACCTTTAATGTAAGTGATATTTATTTCCTGATATACTTTTTGAGAGGCAGATTTTCATAAAATGAAGGCCAGGGAAACACTCAGGATACCACACAATGATTTAAATACAACTGATGCTTGGTCAGAGTAACTAAGAGCTTCTCCCAATCCACTGAATTGAGTAAAGCGCACTGGACAATTAAACTTTGAAAAAAAAATTTCCTTTGTTTATTTATTTGATTGTGCTTGGTCAAAATGACGTGTAATAAATTTGCAAATAAGATAGACTTACTGTACTTTGAATTTTCCTTATCTTCTTTTTGTTATTATCTATCTCTTACTGGAATAGAAACATGAGGACAGAACATTTTTTCTGCTGTGTTTTGCTCAATCCTCATAATTTTTTTTTTTTAATTGGTCGTGGGGCCTGAACTCTGGGCCTGGATGCTGTCCCTCAGCTTTTCAGCTCAAGGCTAGTGCTCTACCACTTGAGCCACAGCTCCACTTCCGGCTTTTTTCTTTTTGCTTATGTGGTGCTGAGGAATC